CATAATTCCCAGCACATCAACAGTAAAAATGCATTCTTACCAACAAAATATGCACCAAACGGGGCTTATTCTCAATGGCACATGGACACATTTGTTGGGAGTTCGAAACAATTTTGAGGAAAGAATCAATTGTACAACTTAAAGAAAGTGATAAGACTGCATTTCATCATGCAAGGACTCACTTCACTGCATACAACATTGTTTTCTAGCAAAAAAAATAAAACCCAACAAATTGAGGCTTATTTGCCTAATTTTATTATTACTGACAATATTTGTAGTGATTTCCTTCAACTTGGGGGAATTTAGTATTTGTTTCTTCAGATGCATGAATTATTATGTATGTTCAATGAATTTCTGTTTTAGAAATTTGGTTGAACTCAGATCACTTTTTGAAGATATCGGTAAAGTTCCAAGTAAGAAAATCTATAAACAATTTTTTATATAAAAATGGACCAGATTTGCCAGTTTGATTTTTGGTTCAATTATTCATAAAAGAAATTTTTTAAAAAATAGAATCCATTAAAATACCATTTTAGAATCCATGCTGGTCTAAAGATGCCACCAATCAATGCAAATTACTGCGAGCATACCCGTTGTAGAGTAACATTGACGCAATAGAGTATGCAGAAAAATCGATCAAATAAAGAACCTTAGTCGATTGAATGGTTGGATAGCTACTCTTTCTATCCATCTCGATCCAATCACAGGAGCTCAAATCCTACATTCCCATCCCCTCTTTAATGACATTTGATTCTTTGTTAAATGAGATATTATCAGTGTAAAGTAATTCTTCTACTTTTTTCTCCCTTATCTTGTAGGAGTAAGAATCTATTAACGCATTTAAGGTCATTTTGGCATAAATGTAGCTCACTCTCAAAGGAGAGGGATGTAATCTGGTTCTAGATCCGTCCATGAAGAGAGGGGACTTTTGGGAATTGGCTTGTTCGCCTTTGAATTTTGTTATTTATTTATTTATTTTGGTTCAATCTGATTTCATAATGATTTTAACATTTTAGCCTTACCTATTTTTTTTTAAATCAAAATTTTCAATAAATCAACTCCACGCTACTTATATTTATTTCGTTATAATTAATTTGACATGATAATTTTAATCTAGGTGTTATTATTATCATTATTTATTGAGTTACTTGTTTGAACACTTACTGGACTTTGCATAACGTCACGTTTTATTCACTGTACTTTGATTTGTACTCCATTACTTACTAAACTTTGTAAAGTTGCATTCCATCATTTACCGACTAATTTCTGTTAATTAACATGGATGACATAGATAACAAATTGCATATGTAGCTAGGGGTGGGCGCGGGTCGGTTCGGTTCGGTTCGGTTTTTTTCGGTTCCAGAAATTTTCGGGTATTTAGTAAATGGAACCGTCGGTTCCAAATATAATTTTGGAACCATTCGGTTTCGGTTCGGTTCGGTTCGGTTCGGTTCTATTCGGTTCCGTTCGGTTCCGTACTATAATTAAATTTTTTAACATTTAAAATAATACTACATAAATATACCTTAAAGTGGATACCA